GTTAAATTGGTGTAAGACAGTAGTGCAAAATGATGCTATTAAGCCCCGGTTATTGCACATCCTACTGTTAAACTATGTGCGGCGACTGATCCATCGGGAACGATTTACAGAAGAGAGACGAGTGCGATACCAATCACACAATTTGATTGTACAACCAATGTGCGAGAACACGCAAAACACACACGTTTACCTACTATGAATCGTCTACATTACATTGCACATGATTGACATAAATGAATTACGATGATGGAAAACATCGCAAACATATATATTACACATTTGCGAGCAGGTAAACCCTTTACTCATTTATCAATCTCCTTTTCATTCTTCATTGTTTTGTTTGCGAATACTTTCTTTATATTTTTTTAATTGCTCGAGGACAAGCAAGATTTAAATTTGGAGGAGTTGATGGCTCAATATTTTGTCACTTTTGTAAGGGTATTTTCATTGGGTTTTCAAAAGGATTTCGTTAATTCTTGTAATTGTTTTAACACTATTCCTTTAAGAAAGAAGAAAACTTCATTTTAAGGGAAACCAATCAAGATAGTAGCAAATGAAGTCAAATAGAGCAACTTTCCTTTTTGGAGAACATTCACCATAGGCACCAGAACAGAGAGCGAAGAGGTCCACAAACAATTTTCATGAAGGGGAGGCATAGCAATATAGAGGGAAGTCGCCGCCACAACCACCAGAATAGAGAGAGAAGAGGTCCACAAAAGAATGACTCCCAAAGATCCATTCCTTCTCTTCCGCTCCAACCTTAGTTCATTCATCGCAAACATCACCAAGTTGTGAAATTAGGGTTTGTAACTCTATTTGTATTCACTCTGTGATCGAAACTTGTTTAATCACTCATCTTATTGCGGATCTTTGTGATATTATTGAGATGATTTTCCCTTGTTTGATCTTTGAGTTATTTGGTAACTTTCGCTCATGTGCGAGTAATCCCCCATAGGCATGGGAGATGTAGGGGATTGGTGAGATTCAGTTTGTTCCTATTCTATTTATCATCA